TAGGGACGTTCACACGTTTCTCGCATGCACGCTGATTGGCCAACAGTTGGACGCATTGGAGTGAGTTTGTTTGACTGAATCAAAGGAAAAATGTCATGCATTCACAAAGGTCGTTAATTATGGATCCAACTAGCTGTATATACCTATATGTTTCACTCGCCCTCTGCCTGCGTTTTCGCCTGGTCCTATTGTTTGCAGAATATACGTTTTGTCCCTAAAGGACCGACTTTTTACACTCAAAACGCGGGAACTGCCGTGATCTTCCATTGAACATAACTTTATCTTACTGGATTGTTCTAAGCAACACGAAAAGGCATCACAACCAACAAATAGGAGATATCAACATTTTATGTTCTGACGGATGCCCAGCGCTTGTGTCGAATACGCAAATCAAGTCTGGTAGCTATGACGGATGCGTGATCTCCCGGCTCTGGAGTAGCGGAAACATCCAACTCCCAAATACGCCGTTGGAATAAGTAATCTTTTATGCGAAGAAAGGCTAAACCACTTGACGTATTCAATGAACGGTATCATCTATTAAGAAACGACCTGAGAGGTCATAGATGATAGTGCGCCATCCACATCACCTGCGCCGCTCTTTACTGCAACTTAACAGAAATACCAACCTAATAGGTCATTCCTTTAAAATGGCGGAACAGTACAGCCGCGTGGAATATCGCGATATTTTTTCTATTCGTGTTTGTCCATCCTGGAAAGCACTCACAAAATCGGTCGTTTCCGCTCCAACACTAATGTAAAAGGCGATTCGCTGTCGTAATCAGCCACCAAGCTATTGTCACTTAGACTCGGATATATTGTCTGTCTCCCGCTTACGCCGAAAATTAAGCGGGGAGTAGATGCACTGCGTTACAAGCACGTATGATGACAAATCTTAATTGCACCGATAGAAGTAATAATCGGTTTCTTTTTTAACTTTTTCGATAACTGCACCAGCACACCCAGCGGAGTTTGTAATGTTTTTTAGCTTGTTCATTACTTATGTCTATTCAGATATTAGAAGCCTAACACTTGCGAAGAGAACTCTTTTCGGCAATTCACTTTAGGCAACTACGATTACAAGACAGGTGAACGTACAGGTAAGCGAACGTTGGGGATATGATTGGTTGAACGAAGTCGAACAATAGTCCACTCGATACAGTCAGACGTCATGAGTTGCGCGAGCACGCGCGGAGACGCACACACGCACAAAGCACAGACGCGTTGGCCGGCAGGTCTACAATGGTCACTCTCAGTCGTAACCGCGGTCCGACATTACGGCCACGGCAACAGTATAGATTGTATAAGTGTTCTTTGTTTGCACAAATCCGACTGAAGCATTCTGATTGCAATGGCTTCAGCGGTGGCGAACAAGCGCTTTCTGATTCCTTTAAGGTTGCGCCCCGGTGCCGTGTAGACTACCTTAGCTTGTATAAAGTCCATTTTCATTGTTCAACTCTTTCGGACGCACAACCTGCCAACTGAGACAGAATAAGGGGTAGCGATAGCGACACCCAATGAAAACCGAAAGTGCACTGACGTACTATTCCCTGCGCTGGCTTCTCACATTTCCACATCATACTGATTCCGCTTAAACAAATTGCGTCATAACTTCATGTATATAACTGTGGGATAAGACATTGACGCTGTAAACCCTTTGCCAAATAGTTGTTTGAGAAAATGTTTACTAAGTATAGAGAGCCTCATTAGTAATCTTATAGTTTGATGTCAATTCTTGTGAACAACAAGCACGGTTTTCCGTCTTTTACGCTGTTATGAATAATGGTATTGGGCTAGATCTCTCTGATCCCATCGTCGTAATATTTCATACTTGACAAGTGTCATTAGACACGTGAGCGAGGGTGTAGAATTCAAAAGAATACGCTCGAAATGCGCCACAGTTGCGTAGGCAACTGTAACACAACGGTGTTAAATTCATGTAGTATTCAATCATGGAATCGACTGCGGCTTACAATGCATTTGATCCCTGTGAACCTAGAACGCACAACCCCGCAGTTTTCAGTTTTCAGATAAAACTCTCGGTATGATTCACCGATTTTGCGCCATGTTTTATGAGCTTTGTGTTGCACAACACAACCACAGTGTCACGCAAAATCGGTGTCCACGATGATAGTACGATTTCCCAAGTGAAATCATTTAGGCAGTCGCTTGAAATGGTCTCCTAAGGACGGCCTCAATAGTAGTTGAACAATGTTTATAGTAATGATCGGAGCATCAACAGTAAGGCTCCGTCTTTAAGCGGTTCAGTTTCTTAGTCGAACTGTTACTCATGGAAGCACGACAGTCGGGGAGCGGGACGGTAAGCTTGAAGGATCCATCCTAGTCCCGGATACGGAGTTAATAAAACCGCCGTAAAGTACTTACGCCTCAGAAGTTAGCAATCAATAAAACTGGACAATAAACAAGCCTTTCCCCCGCAAAGGCGTTGCGAAGGTACATAAAATAACTAAATAAATATTGTATTCTTGACAAGGCGAAGCACGCCTTTTGGGCCTCATTGGGACAATCAGGGGTAGAAAAAATGATCGCTGTAGCGGAGGCTTCAGCGATTTAGCAGCCAAACCCAATTTATCTTTCGGTCTTTCCTTTTATGCGTGAATACAGACGGGGTCACTGTTATTATCCAGAGTGCTTTGACTATCCGGATGAACGAATCGCTCTTAAATGTCCCCAAAGTAATAGAATCTGACATCATATTAGTAGGGCTACGCTAATCATAGTACCTCAGAGACAGTGCGTCAAACTGAGGTGTATCTTTCGCTCCAATTAAATAAAGTCAGATGTAGTATACCTGAGGGTCTGGTCAAGGGTCGCGCTTATTCCTGGGATAGGTAAAGTATTTGCCAAGGTCAAGTAATGGTTAGCTATTAACGAGCTGAAATTCGTAATATGTCAAAAGGGAACCTGACCAGTACTTGTAACTGGTTGACGACGAAAGTAACGCTATGGCACATAGTAGAGTTGATGTGTTCTGCTTAAACATGGTTAACCAGTCAACCCATCGAAGAACATCTGGAACCGTAACTTGCTGTAGCCTTTTTATAAGCAGTACGCCGAAACAATGTACCGAAGCTTCGTTGCCACACGACTACCACCGATCGGGCTAGGGTTGAGTAAACCGCAAAAATGCCGATCTCTACGACGTTTCGGACCGGTGACATAAGGATTGCAATCCGGAAGTGCAATTCTTTTGGCCACTGGCCGAATGAATGAATTTGCATTACTAGTTGAATATCACACCTGTTGTCCGCAGCGGTTAAAGAAATAGAGGAGACCAAAATACAAACTACCACCGGCTTGAGCATTTAGTTCGGGGTTTTTCTCCTTCATTTCTAGTACAAATTCCGACACTTGCCTTCGTCCTATGCAAGAAGTACCATACAAGTTTGGAAACTGTGATCTCTGGCTTCAACGCATCACAGCAGAAAGCCATCAAGTAAGTTTTCATCTTTCTCATACTTATACTTGGTTAAATTGAAACCCCAAGGCGTTCGCAATGGAACGTATTAGAGACTAAGGAAAATGCTGAGAAAGGAGTACCGATTCCTCAGAAAACAACACACTCCTCTCACCACCAATTTTAATTTATCCAAGAAAACTGTAACTACGAGCGTGACAGCAAAACAATACTATCGTCAGTAACTTAAGCGGCCACGAATTAAGGCGGAGCAGATAGCGCAGTTGGTTGGAATGTCACCGAAGTGTTTCCTATCTTCCAGCTTTTAGGCCGCAGAAACATTTCCAATGGACATTCATACCAGGATATTTTCACGATTCAACTAATGACTTGGCGATACCCTACTGTACCTACATACCATGAGGTAACACGTGTTTAACCGGAGCAGCCATTACGAACTCACACAGTACTCTCATCAGCCTTAGTACCAAAATCAACATGCATGAATTTAGTGCTTTCGTAAGGTGAACCTTATGGTATGCATAACGTTTATCTCTCTGTACTGCCCACACGTCAGCTCTTGACCATGCATTTCTCATTATACTTATCACACAACCGATGATGAACATCCAAATTTTTCCGCTAATAAATGATGATCTACTTTTCGGTTCAAATAGAAAAGCGTACATGTTATCATCAAGCTTTAAAGGTCAGTTACTCGTCCCTTTGGGCCATAGCGACAAGCATGTTCCAGTTGTTGTCTTTTTAGACCAACTACTTCGTTTGGTTTCAAATAATTCCAGACGTGCAAAAATATTTTATTCAGAAATATCATTACTCCACACACATTTGAATGCTTGCAATAAACGAAGTCAGAAAAGCGATACTGCTCGCACCGATCAACCAGTCCCCGTAATATGGCCGCGCACTGTAGACGAGGAAAGCGGAGCCAACAAAGCAAGCTACTGTGAAAGCAAAATAAATAAACAAAATGATGGAGCAGGTCGCGGCCAGTTCGCATGCATGACTGGTCAAACAGAGGCATCAATATATGCGACTGGCATGGATGGATATTGGCAGTGACAATTCAGTGACATAATATCTGCTGAGTGGGATGGCCCAATTCGCAAGTTCGCGAATATTGATGCTATCAGCTGAGCACACGCGGTATGCACAAATCCATTACTTTTATTGCAGTTTACTGACAGTACTTTTCTTACTAGGCACATGACCCAAAATCCTAAAGCTTTAGCGTGTGCACAGCTGAACTTGTCATTTTTGTGTGTGCAATGAGTCGCATACACTACAGCTGAAACGTGGTCAAAATGTTAAGCCGCACACTATCTGCATGGTTCTTCATTGTCGACCTTGCACATCGATTCTGATGCTAAAGTTAAAGCAGGTTAGAGGCGTTTTTATTAATGAGAATTGTGACAAGCTAACTAAGCTTCTAAGTCCTGCATTCGTATGCACTACTATTTGCTAACACCAAGCGATCAATTAAAGCTTGTGAATAGTCTGTGCAGTTCGATGTTTACTTAATCTAGACCGGAGATCAATTGACAGCGTTTTGATCCAGCACAATGGGTACTCGTGAGACGATTTCAGAATGGTTGTGTCCTGCACTTCGTTAGTAGGCTCAAAACAGTGCTTACTAGAGAAAGCCACCACCTGGACCTCCACTGCTAGGATAGAAGTAGATTAGGTGAACTGGATTCAAGGCATCCGAATTCTCATATGACGGGCGCAAACAAAACACCTTATTAAGAGAAGGAAAACTAATAGAGATTCTCAACCTGGATACTAAGTGGTTTACCAATTACACCTTACCTTCAGCATACTTTCGAAAGAAGCACAGTCACGCTAATTTGCGTAGCTTATACAGTGAAGCTTTTGAACTGGCACTAGATCCTGGTGAACCAGACCTTTGCTCTACCCGTGTAATCAGCTGGTTTCAGAAAAAAGCATCTCATTCTAGTGCAGAGTTTCGGAGCCGCTCTCTTCAAAGTGCATTGCTGAGAGAGCGCAGCTCCGAAATCTTCCACTTCGGTCTCAGTGATCGAACGAGCATAGATTTGCTTCAACGCAAACTGTGGCTTCAAATGACGCACAGCGCCTACTCCTATAACCTAACAATGAATAATCCCATTATTCGATATGTGAGTCTGCGTGAATTACTTTCAGGGAGACGATTGATGCCGGTCAGAAACATGGTTGATTCAAAGTCCGTAATATTCCTACTTAACTCACGCTGTTGAACCGAAATCGCTTTGGTCAGCCCATGTACACCTGTCGACAATACCTCCCAGACATTCTCCTGCGTAATTCATTTCGGTTCCTAGGCGGCACTATGCCAGAGTGTAGTCTATGTGTCCATTAAAACTAAGTCTATGACAAACAAAATAATTAGGGAAATCACGAGTGCATCATCTAGTTTGCTATAGTGACTATTTTTTATTTAGATAAGATGCTTAACGAAAAGTTTGCAATAAACTTGCCGTACTCATCGAACACCCTTACATACAAGATCCTCCACCGTTAAGTTGGATCAACGATTATAATCTAGGCGCACCACATCCTCTTTGCGTGTTTACTACCTGATCGATGAATTTGCTGCAGACTCATGTAAAGCACTAAAACTCGACACAATATATACGTGAGGTGTGGACACATCTGTGGTTTGAACTTACAAGGAAAGCAGAGCAAAAATAGCAGCAGGCTGTAGAAATGTCGAAATTTCGCCCGGAGACAGAAAAATAGGACAATTTCCAAAACAGTTCCGATGACCACCGTTATTATAGCCAGAACGTCCAAAACATACGCTCCTTCGATCTCACCTGTGGCAGGTAAGGTGTCTACAAAGAAAAGAGTATTCAACATAAACGAAGTCTTCCATGTCATCAGTCACGACAATCCATAGGTATTCGTCGATGAGATTAAAATTGTTATCAGTTCGGCTCAGACAATGTCATTAGCGCCCTAGCAGACATACAAGCCGATCTACCTGAGCTGGAAACTTGGTGCAGCAACTGGAAAGTCGGACCCATATGGGAATTGCAGCTGCATATGTTCTCGGTGTAATATTGCCCCAAATGCTTTGATGCTAGATGGTAGAGCACTGTCCGCTTGTTCACAATTCGTGATCTTGGGATACCCTGCTCGAGCTCATTCAGCTTCGTCAAATAGGTGCAGGATATCGGTGAAAAAACCCTTAAACTAGGAGAACTGATAGTAAGATCCTTCGTTTTGAATGAATCTGTAATATACCTATATAAAACTCGTATTTGCCCCTTATTAGAATATTGCTCATTAATGTACCCCAATCTGAGAAGAAGTGACCGAACGGCACAGAAAATATACAGCAGTCATTTACGAAGCACCTAATGGGAAACTCTGGGAATCTTACTTACGATGTCCGGTGTTGTGAGATGAACGTAGAACCCCTTCGGTTAAGGGGACTAAATTTTAACCCAAACTTCATGTTTGTTATGAGTCACAAACGCCTCCTTATCTCGGACATCGAGGTTGTACGTCAACCCTCCCTCAAGTACAATAGAAGGAATGGGCTCCACACGTGATAATTCGAAAAAACATGAACTGGCTTAAGATCAGATTTCTTTCTCAACCGCAACGCAGTTCTGTGGAACAGGTTGCCACAGTATTTGTGAACGTGCGACTCAATGGGTGTTTTATGCACTCTAGTCAACAGAGAATTGACAGTAAACAAGTTGAGGGACATGCTCATGATAGATGTGAGTATAACCACGTTGTCTAAGGAGAGGCGCAGTGCCATGTAGCAGATTACAAGATTCGCTGTTTCCATGTCAACCAAACAGTAGCATGTTTTTTATTCATAAATGTGCCTATTTCCACACTTCTAACTGACCTCTTTTTTGTTCGGTGGTACCAACGGACAAAATACGGAGTAGTAATTAAAGCCATCGATAATATTCCCTACACGGCTCGGCTGTCACCTATAGTTAAACTACTAAAACATTGTCTCATTAACATGTTCCTTAGTAACGGAGTGAACGCAAACCTTTCAGGACTATCTAATCACAAATTTGATCGAATTCAGCGCAGCTTTGCCTGTGGCATCCCAAGCAACACACACCACCTACGGACCAATGGCCCACCCATCTCATAACATCCACGCGGACCATCACCCAGGAACTTTAGGTAGGTAGGGCGGAGTTTGAGCACATGCTTGAACTTGGAATAAGCCGCACTTCCTACAGTCCTTGGTGCTATCTCCTGCAGACGGTCCCCAAGAAATCTGCTGACTGGCGTCCTTGCGGTGAATACTGGGCACACTAACCTAAGCGCCATAGATAGGTATCCCATCCGACACATGCAGTACCTTACCGCATGCCTCACAGGTAAGACGATATTCAGCAACCTCGATCTGGTTCACGCCTATCACCAGATATCTGTAGAAAAAAGGACATTCCTAAAACAGCCGTCATCACCTGTCGGATTATTCAAAAATTTAGAAATGCCATTTGGACTGTGCAGCGCCGCACAAACCTTCAAACGCTTCATACACGAGGTCACTCGTGGCCTAGATTTCGCTTATTCCTACCTCGATGATATTTTAGTAGCCAGTTCATCGGAACAAGAGCAACTTGAGCATCTTCGTGCTCTCTTCTAGCGCTTGACTAAACACGGCGTCACACTCAACCCGACTAAGTGTGAACTCGGCAACTCAACGGTAGAATTTCTAGGCCACCTCGTTTCATCGTCTGGTATTGAAATCCTTTCTGATACGATCCAGGCAATCAAGGATTTGCCACATCCGACTTCATTAAAGCACCTCCGTCGATTTTTTGGTTTGGTCAACTACTATAGACGCTTTATTCCGCACTGCGCTCAGCTCATACAGCCTCAACCGACCCACTCAGGGAATGAACGTAAGTTCGCTTTCCCTGACACAGCACAGACAGCCTTCGCCGAGCCCAAGGATGCTATCCAACATACCCCTATTCGCTCATTCCGAATCGACTGCGCCCCTTTCTATTACGACTGATGCCTCAGACGTCGCGGTAGGAACCGTCCTCCAACAACACGTTGGTGGGCAATGGCAACCCCTTGGGTTGTTCTTCAAGTGCCTGCAGCCAGCGGAGTCCATCTACAGCAAGTTTGGCAGAGAACTGCTCGCCATTTATCTAGCCATTCGTCACTTCCGGCACACACTCGAAGGCCGCACTTTCACGGTCTACACTGACAACAAGCCCCTCATCTTGGCCTTCAACTCTGCTTGCGACAAATACTCACCCCCGGGAAACCAGGCACCTAGACTTTGTCACGCAGTTCACTGCTGACATACGCCATTTCTCAGGTGTCGATAATCCTGTCGCCGACTCTGTCTCATGCGTCAACCTCACTCTCCAGTCTTTGCTTACCGTCGAACTTGCGGCCTTAGCATCGGCTCAAGCTCAAGACGAAGATATACAGCGCACTCTGCAGTCCACTTCGTTGCATATGCAACCTGTTCCTCTCCAAACCACGGAAGGAACCATTCTCTGTGACACTTCCACAGGTTGTCCTAGACCACTCGTGCTCGTCTCCTTCAGATGCACAGTCTTCGACGCACTCCACTCACTATCACATCCCGGTGTTCGTGCATTTTTGAATCTGGTCACCGAACGTTTCGTTTGGCCACGCGTAAACAAAGTTGTTCGTAACTGGGCTCGCAACTACCTTCAGTGACAGCGCTCCAAAATACATAGTCACACCCGCAGTCCTCTAGGTTAATTTCCTGCCCCGTACTCTCGGTTCTCGCATGTGTACTTAGACCTAGTAGGTCCCTCGCCTCCGTCACGCGGATTCGTATACATTCTTACATGTATCGACCGCTTCACCAGATGGCCAGAAGCCATTGCCGTAACAGACCGCACAGCTGAGACTGTTATCCGGGCCTTCTTGGACCCTTGGGTCTCGCAATACGGATGCCCATCCACCATTACAACTCATCGAGGAACGCCTTTCGATTCTTTATGGCAGCTGGGCAAGAAAGCTGATTGCCAACGCTCGCGTGTTTACGACAAATCATGCTTGGGAAAGACGCTGCCAGCGTGTTGCCAGGGCCAAGCCGCAAGCTGATGAAATCGCGCGTCAGACATCACGTGCGTTGCCATGCACCGGGTAGGCGGACGAAGACTGGATTGCCCGAGCAAGACGGTGAACTGGACAGACGGAACGGACAAGCATGTGTGAACCGTGGGCTTACAGCCAAATCCGCCTGGTGATGTTTGGAGGTTTGATGAGACCGACATATAAATATGAGCGTTCTCTGTCTTAAGACAACTCTGATCTTCTGAGTCTTCTTCTGTCTTCCCTCCTGTCGGATTTATCAAGGCGTCAAACAGAGTAGGCGTAAGGGCTCATATTTACCAGCTGGCGTGAATCAACCGGTTGATTGCAGGTGCAGCGTTATACCATTTTACCATTCGATACTTTCTGCAACTTTTTAGGCTGTCGCCGCGTTCATACCACAGTGTAACACCCAGCAAACAATGGGTTGGTTGTACGCTCCCATAGACAGCTTAAAGTCACACTCTGCGCCTCCTCCGACCCCAGCTGGAGCGAAAAAGTTTCACGCGTACTCTTAGGTATTCGCAGCAACATCAAAGCCGACTTGCAATGTGCACCAGCAGAGCTAGTTTACGGCACAACGCTGAAGCAGCCAGGAGAATTCGTTTCACCTCCTGCATCGTCGGGCATGCCTCTGCCAAACTTTGCGTCTTCCCTAGCTCAACGTATGCGTTCACTACGCCCTACTCCGCTCCGTGAGCAGACTCCAGATGTGCAAATACACAGAGGACTCATTACCTGCACTCACATGTTTCTCCGCACAGACGCAGTGCGGCGACCTCTCTAGCCTCCTTACACTGACCCTTTCAGAGACCTGAAACGGACTCGAAGCATTTTATCTTAGGCCAGAATGATCACCGAACAACGGTGTCCATCGACCGCCTCAAAGTGACTTTCTTTGACGAACCACTTGTAAGCAATCCTGATGCTAGCTGGCAAACACCAGCAACTATGGTGAGTTCACGAGCACTGGATATCCCGAAACCCTCCGTTACACTTGACCCTAAACCTACCCCGCCATAACCCCAAACAACCGACCGCCGCGGTAGACAGGTTAAACTTGCGGTCCGTTATTCAGATTTTGTAAACGTTTGCTATTTCCATTAACCCGCATTTTTCGTCTTTAGTGATAATTGTGCGTCGCATGCACAAACGTTTTACAAAATCGACAAACAGAACCTAAAACATTTTGAAAACCTAAAAAGCGTATTTGCTTTTATCATGCATGCCATGTGCTCTCTCCGCCGTCAAGCCACTTCCCCGATCCTTGCCCACCCCTCTGAGTTCTACCTTTCAGAAACTCAACCGCCGGAACTGCCAAGGCCACCCTTTAAGTGACTCGACAACCGGCCAAACGCAACCAACAATTGACTCGCCAGTTGACCCAAGACCCTCTTCCAGACCCAAGAAACAGTCAGTCGCCTTCGGCCGCAGGCAGCCACGAACGGGCTGGTCCCTATACGCCTAGCTAGATATTGCCGACGAGGACTCCAGATTTCTTCGTGGGTCGATGACGCCTGGATTTCTTCCTGAGGTGAGGACCGTGGACTGGAGTGCTGTGGGGTGAACGACACATCCCAAGTGCACCGTCGGGTCTGCAGCAAAGAGAAGGTCCTGTCGGCATTTTGTGGAGCAGCCAGTTTTTTTTGCAGTCCGACCAGCCCGCCCCGATAGCCCACCGATGATGTACTCTGGTCCACACGATCATCATAAATAACAACGAACAAAAGCCTGGACCCATCGAACTCTGCTACACACTCCA